AGTATGTCCTCACATTGAGTTTTCAAGAGGAAAAAAATTTCTGCTTCACCTGAAACGAGCAAATCTGTGTTTAAAACTTCATTATTCTAATTCAGTGAGAAGAAAAGTTAATTTTTTCTTTGATTTTCGACTTTTCAAATTTTTCACTGCTTTTTAAGTCTTAGAAGTCTTATCACATTGACGGTTTTATTTATTTGACAACTATATGTCACCTTGACAATTAATTTGTATAATTTATATATAATAATGATAGTTCTTGTTAAAAATGGCTGTGGTTTTTATCTTAAAGCTGTTTTTTGAGATGCTATTTATTAAAATCCTGTTTTTCACAAACATTTTTGTTATTTAACTTGCGTAAACATTTGTCAAACTGACACAATTGTCAAAATAATAAAGCAGCCAATGTGATAGGACTTAAAAAGCAGAGAAAAGTTATTCTCCAAAAGTCCAAAATTAAAAGAAAAATGAACTTTTCTTTCAACTGAGTTAGAATAATGAAGTTTTAATTACGGATTTGCTCATTTCGGGTAAAGCAAAAAATGTTTTTCCTTTGCAGTTTTGACGTAAAATCAAAGATTTTTTTTTCTCTTCTAAACTCAATTCGGGGACATATTGTATACCTGTCGTAGAAATAAGTTTATTTAGTCATACTGGGATTTATCAAAATCGCTTGATCTTGTAAAATATTTAGTATAGATATTAGTTTACATAATGGTGGTTTAAATAATAATAATKTTCAATTTTTCATTTCAATAGAAGGAAGAAGATTATGTTATTTCTGACACATTTTGGCATACTTTTAATAAGAGTTTAATATTCTGCCTTGTTGAAAAAATTAGACAATTTTGAGAAGAAATTTTTTAATTACTACTAAATTTTATTTCGATTTTCGTATGTATGTTGTTTTGTTTCTTTTTTATAATATATTTACGTTCATGCACAGGAAAGGGTTATTTTTTATTGCGGTTGTGCAGTTAATTAAAATGTTTCTAAAATTAGCACATTTCAGCGTTGATACTCATCGTCCTATCCTATATTATTATGCTTAATGAGGACACGYGAGATTTTAAACATAGTAAAAGTTAGTAACGACACAATTTATAGGAATAATTACTGTTTATTTTTCACTTAATTATAATGAAGGTAATGTATTTTGTCATAAAAAGCAATATTCTCTACTAAAAGTTATTTCAGAGCACGTTTTTTAATTTCCCTCAACATGAGAACTGAAAACCGTTTAGACAGGCTTTAATATGAAAAATGAAAAAAAGTTTTTTAAGTTTTGAACTTGTTTCAAGTTAAAGTGGATCGTAAATTTCCACCCTGGAAAGGTTTTTTCACGGACGTAGACAAATTAAACGCTCGTGGGGCTCAAACTTAGTTTCTGGAAATCACAAATGAGGTTTTGAGGTCAGAGGTTTTGCACTTTTTGTAAAACTACTCATCGAAACTGTTGAAGTAATAAAAACTAACTCTATAGTTTCCAGGAACGTCGCCGATTTTGTTTATCGTTTCTGCGAAACCCCCGGCTGGGTCGATTTCCGGTTCCCAGTCTCAATTATTGCGAATTAGTTTTTTTTTAGTTAGTCTGTACACAGCTAGGCTCGTGATAGAAGCTCGTACAGGGAGCCCTCTACTTTTGTACTTTACACTTCATTAAATATTCTTTTAATTAATAGCCCAAGCGTATTCTTTCAAGATACCTTCAACAGAAACCAATAAACTTAACTTTCAGATGTTGCCGTCTTCAGCTTTTTATAAGCAAAAAAGAAGACGGTTTTCTATTTTTTGAAAATAGTTTAAAAACAAAATTCTACCAATGAGATTCATGGATCAACTTTGCAGTTAGTGAAAGACTACACCTTTTTCAAGTGTAATTAAAGCGTATGATATATTTCAGAAAATGTTAATTGTAATTGGAAACAGTAAAATGAATTTCAGAAACTATCAAATATAATTCAGATTAGTAATTTTAATTTCAGAAAGCGTAAATTGGAATTCAGATTAGTCATTTGTATTTCGGAAAGTGTTAATTGTAATTCAGACTTTGTCATTTGTAATTGAGAATTTGTCAATTGTAATTCAGAATTCGTTATTTTTATTTAAAAATTACACTATCAAAATCCCTTTAAAAATAAAATATCTTATTTATTTTGTAAAATACCAGCTTTATGTAAATTTTTAGTTTTGAAAATAAAATAATTCGTGTTTATGTGTAAACTTTATTTTGAGATAACAGTAAGTTACAATTGATATTTTTTGAATTACATGTAACATGAAATTGAATTTACTGTTCTGAATTACATACTCGTATAATTGTTTCTGAATTACAATTAATACTTTCTGAAATACAATTGATTTATCTGAATTCCAATTTATGCTTTCTGAAACTAAATTAACTAATCTGAATTACATGTGATGGTTTCTGAATTATATTTGAAAAAGGTGTAGATGTTCAAATTTGCTCCATTTCTCCCCAAATCCGATCAATATGTTGGGGTGGCCGGCGCTCAGCTGAGACACAATGCCGCCACCCCCAGACGTGATCGATAAACCCCAAATGGCAGTTGTCTTGAGAGGGGTCGTGCAGATTATGAGGATTTAGGTCGCTTCATCGACGAACTCAATCCGGCTTTGATTGGATTCATGTTTGATTGGATTAGATCCGTGCAGCACGTTTTTGTATGTATTATTGGCACTTTACCAAGAAATTTACAAAACCAAAACACTGTGTCACTTCTAAATATAATTCACTGTGTACCGAGTTCATGATTAAGGAGACGAAGAAATTTTCGGTTGATATCGATGCTGATTTATTGCTGTTTCATAACAGTTTGACGCGGGCGCTAAAAATTGACTCGCTTCAAATGATAAAGAGTGGATTTATTGAGACGGTTATTGCGTTCGAGGAGATTTAGAACGTTGGGTTTCTTGTCGAAGGTGACGAGATGTATGATGATGATGGGGGGCTTTTCGGAGCTTTCTAAAATAGGAAAAATGTTTTTCCAACTAAGCCAGACAAGTGAGGAAAACTCTCTCTCATCGTCATTAAAATAAACTGAAACTGTGCATCATTTGTAATTGTGTTGGAACAAAAATGAAAATCTGAAAATTTGAAAATAAAAAAATTAGATTTAATAAACATGTCTAAAAGTAATGAAGTGGCTTGAAATTGCATGCAATATCTCGAATTTGAAACACTTTTTGTAAACTAGTACAGTATGCAATTGAGTAATTAATACTCTCGTTTGCAGACATTTTAATTAAAAGCTACATTTATTCCATTTTAATTTGCTATCCGATATAAATTATAGACTACAAAAATTAATTAACCTTTTCGCTCATGTTTCACTGAGCCAAACTAATCATTTCTAAGCGAAGCAATAAAAATGCTATTGAAATTTATTTCTTCTACTTAACTGTAAATTTTCCAAAATGATTTTAGAGTGTTTCAGAAAAATAATTATACCAGTTGAATAAAAAGTATGGGACCAAATATTTTTTGCTTAAAATATTTATTTTTTAGAAAAATTAATTGATGAATGATATAAAGTACATACTATAAAACTGTGATCTTCTATCAAGAATAAAATTTTTCGAAATTTTCTTTTGTTTTTGGGTTCTACAACATTTTTAATTTTTTTAAATGGCAACCCATTATAAAACCATTTTTCTCATAAAGGTTATGATCTAAGGATTACAACTATCTACTCTACATTTAATTTAAAAAAATTTTTTTTTACATAAATTGCAATTTATACGATCACATTTTTTTTATTACTTTAGTTTATATTAATTATTATTTTCTGGAGGCAAATGATTAAAAAAACGTTTGGTTCCATATTTTATACCCTGTATATGTTGTATCAGAAATAAATGACCGAGTTTTAACACGTAGATGTGAGTAATAAAGTCTTAAGAAATTCATATTTTTTTAAACAACTCGTTTAAAAAACATGTATAGCGAATATTTACAAGGAAGNATTATTTAAAGTTTAAAAAATTGGAAATTAATTTTTTAATTATTAATAAAAACTTGTATTCGCCTATAACTGAACAAAAAAAAACTATATTGAGATTTTATTACGATAAAACAAAACCTTATAAGAAAAAAGAAAAAATAATACCTATTGATCAGAAACCATTATTAAAAAAAAATTGTAATTAATTATTAAAAATTAGGGGGCACGAATTTGGAAAAAAGTACTTTGCAAAATGTCAAAAAGAAGTTCAAGTTGAAGAGTTTGTATTATTTGAAGCAAAATTTTAAGTTAAAACTTGTTTTCGCATGACCACTGGCATAAATATTTAGAAAATCTTATTGTTTACATTTCTTATAACATAATGTCCTATTATTTAAAATAAAAACTAACAAAAAAGCGAACGTTTGTTTAAATGAAAATGTCAGAGTTTCAGAATTAATTGATTTGAAAATAGATCAACTTATTCTTATCATTTTCTTACTTGCTTCTTCATTGTTTTCTCTCCACTAAAAACCTTCCTTGGTGAAGAAATAGGGGCTGTATTTTATAATGTAGTAAATTTATTTCAGACATTTTATTATCATCCCTTATTGTTCTTGAGCGTTTCGTTTAGATATTTCATTTTTTAGAAAATAAAACCATTATTTATTGCTTCCACCTTTCATACTGTTATTATTTATATGCAGAGGTAAGCTCTCCAGGTTACGCGAGTTTATCTTCCATCTTCTGTTTTAACATTAAACGATGTTTCACTGCTGATAGCCTTCAAAATTGGTTTCTTTGAATTGCTAATTTTCCCACTTTTAGGAATAAATAATTTCCTGCTTTGCGATTTTTTTTCTAGTTCCTTTCCTGGAACAGGTGTCACTTTTACGCACCCTATCCACCCCAGTGTCTGGTGGTGCGCCATTCTGCCCCTGAGACACACTATCAAAACTTCTTTCCGGTCGATAACGGGGTTGCTCCGTGCCATTGGTTTAGTACCCGGAGTCGGCAGTGGCGAAGAACTGTTCAAACCACGAATATGGAGTCATTGACTTAACTCAAAAAACTTAGTTCGGACAATTTCTGATTTTTGCTCAAATCTAAACAGTTCTGTGGTATCAAAATTCTGTGGTGTAGAAGAGTCGTCAGAAATGGTCACCGAAAATGGCCAGGTAGGACTTACTGATTTTTCTGCAGTGTTCAATAACAGTTTTATGGTCCGGTGTATTAATATCAACATTCGTGTTTTTTTATGGACCATTTTGGTGCGATCGTAATTAGCGTCACCCTTTGAGACGTCGGCACGCGACGCTGACGTCACGCCAGATTCGTCTTCACTGGATGCGCCGTCGCGACGCCGGTATTGACTGATGACGTCACAAGGCGTCGCCAAAATGCCCTTCGTTTCTTTTTCGCTCTACCACATTCCGTTTGTGCCGGGTCCATAGTGACACATTTTTAGTCTAGTTTTTGTTAAAAACTTCTAATTTAGAAACGCTTTTTGCAAATCCAACTGTGATCTGGTTTTAGACYTGARTTTTTTCATTTAYATTAGGACGTGTGTCACCTGTTGAATTGTAAATGAAAGTGTTTTTGATGGGGAATATGCTTGTCAAAGGGACTCCCGAGTTTCGACACCTGTTCGGTCTCTAAATATGGCTTCGTGTTTGAAGTTTTTACGGATGGTGAGTGAATCAATTAGGGGATTGTGTACGGGGGTTAGGCGAGAATTGTGACGGATGTTACTGTGGGACTATCGATTGCAAAGGGTCGTGAATGTTTGTCTTGATTACTTTGTTTCTGTCTGTGTTGCGTCTCTTGTTCTCTATGGCTTGTCTGTTTACACTTTGAATTTTTTATTATGATACTCTTCGTACGTACTATATACTTTCAGTATTTTGGCGGATACACATTTTGTTCTTCTCTTTATAAATTTCTCTGAATTTTAATTTTTCTCTCTCCAAAAGAGATTAATAATTAATTTTTAGTACTCAAACTCAATAAAAGCCAAATTTGAACAAAAAAATTTTCATTTTTCTTCTGATTTTTTTGTCTTTTTTTTTCTTTCTTATTTCTAATCTTGTTTCAATATATTATAGCTACAATAAATAAATAAAAAAAAAAAAACAAAGTACTTGACTTTTTCGAGATCAGGTAATTACAAAGTGAAATACCTAATTAGTTCTGCTTCTAATTATTATCACTCTTAAATTCTGCATATTAAAAAAAATTAAATGCAACAAAAGAAAAGTTGTAAAATATAATTGTGTGCAATTAATTGAGTTTTGATATAAAATGATGGTAGCAGATTATCAAGAATATATTCTCTTAGAAAAACTAAAAAATCTAAAAGCGGAGAATCCAGATCAGATTCGTTTTAGATCCAAATGCAGAAAAATTAGATTCGATTCTAGATTTCTCTTTTTGTGAGATCTGAGTTTACTTTGCGTCAAATTTGAATCCAAATTTGATTTTTCTGCCTTTTTTGTTATTTTTTTTACATTTGTTCCCGTAGACTTACATAACATTTTTCCCATTCCCTTGAAGTAATTTACATTTTCGATTATTTTATTATTCTGATTTAATCTCCATTCTTGTCAAGTTTCCTTGCTATTTTGGCCTTTTCATTTCCGGAATCTTATATCTTTGACCCTGTTGACATAATTTGCCATGGCGTGTCTCTTAAAATACTTGATATTTTCACTTTTCTACCAGTTTTTGAACAGGATTTGTTGTAAAAATTCAGTATTTGCTTGTAATTTAAAATGCTTTATGAGCATCAAAAATAGTATATTACGTAAAAGTGTAGTAAAAGTCCTAGTTTATGTGGCAAAGCTGAACGTTTATGAATTATGAATATATCAGCTGAGCCATATAAACTCACCTTTTCTTCAAATAACATATACTATTTATTCGCAAACGTATTCATAAAGTAAAAATTATCAGGATGTTTTGCAAGTAATAAAATCATAAACAAACATCACGTGTCAGTATTGGAATTTGTATTAAGATTTTTGAAAGTTTATTAATTTAAAATTAAACTAGTGCAGTTAGTAGTGCAAAAAGTCGAATGCTGATGATCTATAATGAAATTGTTGAAGCAGCAAAAGAAACAAGATATAAACAACACTGGTTAATGTCAATAATGTCATGATAAAAGTAAAAACGCTTAGGAGTAAATATGACATTTTTATTCTATGGCTGAAAGGTAGAACTTTTATTTGTGACATTTAGTAATAATTAAAAGTAGTCACTTTTGTGACTTTTGCGGATAAAGAGTGTTTCTTTTGTTGAATCCTATAGTCATTTAATAATATAATAGAATATTATCCCAAAAATACACAAAATGTGCTATATAGTTTATGTATAATTTTATCAACAAAATAGAAACTAAGTGCAAGTTTACGGAAAACAAATGTGAATTATTCATTAAAATTCAGTTGATARTATATTTTCAGTAAACCGGTTTTAAATGTTGCAAATTTAAAGCTCACAAAATTAATTTGGCGAATATTGCGTGTATTTTTGCTTCCCATAAAACGCTCATTAGTCTTGAAATACACAAGTGAAGGAAAACACTTTAAAGAAAACCATTTGTCGTAAAATAAATGACTTCTAAATCTAGTTGGTCTGCAATATACATGAAATTGGTGAATTTTTGCGGCTCAGAAGAAATAATTAATTTATGTATTTTCAAGAGTATGTACAGAAATATCTTTTTAAATTTTTGAAACACTAAATTCTACTTTAAAAAAACAATACTATAGCTTCAAAAACACATTTATAATATTTAAAAGAATTGAACAAATATATAAAAACATTAAAATAAAAACACTTCTTTTGAAAATTCTCA